GAGCGACCAAAATTTGTCTGAAAGTCTTTTTTTTTTAATTTTTGAGATGGAGTTTTACTCTTGTTACCCAGGCTGGAGTGCAATGGCGCGATTTCTGCTCACCACAACCTCTGCCTCCTGGGTTCAAGTGATTCTCCTGCCTCAGCCTCCCGAGTAGCTGGGACTACCGGTGTGCACCACCATGCCCAGCTAAGTTTTGTATTTTTAGTAGAGAAGGGGTTTCACCTTGTTGACCAGGATGGTCTGGCTCTCTTGACCTTGTGATCCACCACCTGCCTCAGCCTCCGAAAGTGAATTTTTTTTGTAGTTGTGTCTCTGCCAGGCTTTGGTGTCAGGATGATGTTGGTCTCATAAAATGAGTTAGGGAGAATTCCTTCTTTTTGTATTGTTTGAGATAGTTTCATAAGGAAGGCTACCAGCTCCTCTTTGTACGTCTGGTAGAATTCAGCTGTAAACCCATCTGGACCTGGACTTTTTTGGTTGGTAGGCTGCTATTTGCTGCCACAATCTCAGAACTTGTGTTTGGTCTATTCTGGGATTCAACTTCTTCCTGGTTAGTCTTGAGAGGTTGTAAGTGTTCAGGAATTTATCCATTTATCCATTTCTTCATGATTTTCTGGCTTACATACATAGAGGTGTTCATAGTATTCTCTGGTGGTAGTTTGTATTTCTCTGGGCTTGGTGGTGATATTCCCTTTATTTTTTATTGCATCTATCTGATTCTTCTCTCTTTTTGTATTTATTACTCTGGCTAGCAGTCTATCTCTTTTGTTGATCTTTTTAAAAAAAATACCTCCTAGATTCCTTGATTTTTTTTTTTTTTTTTTTGAAGGGATTTTTGTGTCTCTATCTCCTTCAGTTCTGCTCTGGTCTTAATTATTTCTTGTTTTCTGCTAGCTCTTGAATTTGTTTGATCTTGCTCCTCTAGTCCTTTTAATTGTGACATTAGGGTGTCGATTTTAGATCTCTCATTTTTTCTCTTGTGGGCATTTAGTGCTATAAATTTCCCTTTACACACTGCTTTAAATGTGTCCCAGAGATTCTGGTCCATTGTGTCTTCATTCTCATTGGTTTCAAAGAACATTTTAATTTCTGCCTTCATTTCATTATTTATCAGTAGTCATTGAGGAGCAGGTTGTTCAGTTTTCATGCAGTTGTGCGGTTTTGGGTGAGTTTCTTAATCCTGAGATCTAACTTGATTGCACTGTTACTTGAGAGACTGGTTTCTGTTCTTTTGCATTTGCTGAGGCTTAATTTACTTCCAATTATGTGGTCAGTTTTAGAAGAAGTACAACATGGTGCTGAGAAGAATGTATATTCTGTGAATTTGGGGTGGAGAGTACTGTATATGTCTATTAGGTCCACTTGTTCCAGATTTGAGTTCAAGTTCAGAATATTCTTGTTAATTTTCTGTCTCATTGATCTGTCTCATATTGACAGTGGGGTGTTAACGTCTCCCACTATTATTGTGTGGGAGACTAAGTCTCTTTGTAGGTCATTTAGAACTTGCTTTATGTATCTGGGTGCTCATATTGGGTGCATATATGTTTAGGATAGTTAGCTCTTCTTGTTGTATTGATCTTTTTACCATTACATAATGCCCTTCTTTGTCTCTTTTGATCTTTGTTCATTTAAAGTCCTTTATCAGAAACTAGGATTGTAGCCCCTGCAGTTTTTTGCTTTCCATTTGCTTGGTAAATCATCCTCCATCCCTTTATTTTGAGCCTATGTGTGTCTTTGCACATGAGATGGGTCTCCTGAATACAGCACACTGATGGGTCTTAACTCTGTATCCAACTCTGTATTCAGTCTGTGTCTTTTAATTGGGGTATTTATCACATTTAAATTTAAGGTTAATACTGTTACATGTGAATTTGCTTCTGCCATTTTGATGCTAGCTGGTTGTTTTGCCCATTAGTCAATGCAGTTTCTTCATAGTGTTGATGATCTTTACAATTTGGTATGATTTTTAGTGGCTGGTACTGGTTGTTTCTTTCCATGTTTAGTGCTTCCTTCAGGAGCTCTTATAGGCAGGCCTGCTGGTGATGAAATCTCTCAGCAAGTGCATGTCCATAAAGGATTTTATTTCTCCTTTGCTTAGGAAGCTTAGTTTCACTGGTGTGAAATTCTGGGTTGAAAATTCTTTTCTTTAAGGATGTTGAATATTGGCCTCTACTCTCTTCTGGCTTGTACAGTTTCTGCTGAGAGATCCATTGTGAGTCTGATGGATTGTCCTTTGTGGGTAACCCAACCTTTCTTTCTGGCTGCCCTTAGGATTTTTTTCTAAATTTCAGCCTTGGTGGATCTGATAATTATGTCTTGGGGTTGCACTTCTCAAGGAGTATCTTTGTGGTGTTCTCTCTATTTCCTGAATTTGGATGTTGGCCTGCCTTGCTAGGCTGGGGAAGTTCTCCTGAATAATATCCTGAAGAGTGTTTTTCCACTTTCATTCTCCCCATCACATTCAGGTACACCAATCAAATGTAGATTAGGTCTTTTCACATAATCCCAAATTTCTTGGAGGCTTGTTCATTTCTTTTCACTCTTGTTTCTGTAATCTTGCCTTCTCACTTTATTTCATGGGTTGATCTTGAATCTCTGATATCTTTTCTTCTGCTTCATTGATTCAGCTATTGAAACTTGTGTATACTTCACAAAGTTCTTGTGCTGTGTTTTTCAGTTCCATCAGGTCATTCATGTTCTTCTCTACACTGGTTATTCTAGTTAACATTTAACATGCTCCTTTAGCTTGAAGAAGTTTGTTATTACTCACTTTCTGAAGCCTGCTTCTGTCAATTTGTGAAACTCCATCTTTGTCCAGTTTTGTTCTCTTGCTGGTGAGGAGTTGTGAAACCTTGGAGGAGAAGAGGCATTCTGGTTTTTGGAGTTTTCAGCCTTGTTGCGCTGGTTGCGCTGGTTTCTTCCCATGTTTGTGGATTAATATACTTTTGATCCTTGAAGTCAGTGACCTTTGGATGGGGTCTCTGAGTGGACATCCCTTCTGTTGCTGTTGAAACTATTTCTTTCTGTTAATCTTCCTTGTAACAGTCAGGCTCCTCTGCTGCAGGTCTGCTGGAGTTTGCTGGAGGTCAACTCCAGACCCTGCTTGCCAGGGAATCACCAGTGGGGGCTGCAGAATAGCAGAGATTGCTGCCTGTTCCTTTCTCTGGTAGCTTCATCCCAGAAGGGTACCTGCCAGATGCCAGCCAGAGCTTTCCTGTGTGAAGTGTCTGTCAGCCCCTGCTGGGAGATGTCTCTCAGTCAGGATACACAGGCATCAGAGACCCACTTGTGGAGGTCCGTTCCTTATCAGAGCTCAAATGCTGTGCTGGGAAATCTGCTGGTCCCTTCAGAGCTGCCAGGCAGGGACATTTAAATCTGCTGAAGCTGTACCCACAATCACCTTTTCCCAGGTGCTCTGTCATTGGAAGGTGGGGACTTTATTTGTAAGTTCCTGATGGGCTGCTCCCTTTTTTCAGAGATGACTTGTCTAGCGACACACTGTGACTACAGAGTCCTTGCTGAGCTGCCCTGGGCTCCGCCCAGTCACTGCATAAACTTCCTGGGGACTTCATTTACACAGGGGAGGTTAAAACTACCTATGGGAGCCTCAGCAATGATGGATGCTTCTCCCCACACTGAGCTTGAACATCCCAAGTAGAGCTCAGAGTGCTGTGCTGGCTGCAAGAATTTCAAGCCAGTGGATCTTAGCTTGCAGGTCTTCTTGGGGTGTGACCTGCTGAGCCAGATCACTTGGCTCCCTGGCTTTAGCACCCTTTTTTGAGGGAAGGAGCAGTTCTGTCTTGTTAGTATTTCAGAAACCACTCAGTTGGAAATTTGGAGATTACCTGCCTTCTGTGTCACTCGTGCTGGGAGCTGTGCACCTAGGTGTTTCTATTGGGCCATCTTGCCAGCAATCCCTGCCGAACTGGGGTTTTTTCCTCTATAATTAGGGTATACCAATCTGAGAGGCTGAAATCAGCTGGTGAGTTTTTCAGATGAAACAGAGGGAAGGATTCTAGGGCCATGGCTGGCCTTGATGGCCCCTGTGAATTAGAAACAGGTCCCTCCTCCACAACTGTATTTTTAATAGTAACTACATAGATGACACTAGAGTATAAGAAGATGAAGCTGATAAAGAACTTGAGGTTGGAGGAGTTGCAGAGGGTAGATTGCAGGGACCCTGTATGCTCAGCTTAGGAATGTGGAAAGCCCTTCATGACAGTCCAGTGGAGAAGCTTACCAATCGCATCTCAGGCTGCCCTGCTTTAACATTGATGTTCATGGCAGTCCTCTACCTAAAACACTCACTGTCTCTTCCACCCACCTTTGCCTATGGGCAGACATGCAAGCTATGCACAAGAACTGTATCAAATGACATGTTTTGACAATAAATAACAGTGGGGGGAGCTTTGAAGAAATGAATCACTGAGAAAAAAATACATATAATGGAGCTCTTAATTCTAGGAAAAGATGCTCAAAGTCACTCATTAGAAAAGAAAGACAAATTAATATGTTGTTGAGGGCTGTACTTGGTGGCTCATGTGTGTAATTCCAGCACTTTGGGAAGCTGAGGTGGGCAGATCACATGAGGTCAGGAGTTTGAGACCAGGCTGGCCAATATGCTGAAACCCCATCTCTAATAAAAATACAAAAATTATCTGGGTATGGTGATGCATGCCTGTAATCTCAGCTACTCAGGAGGCTGAGGCAAGAGAATCGCTGGAACCCAGGAGCCAGAGGCTGCAGTGAGCCATGATGGTGCCACTGCACTCTAGCCTAGGCAACAGAGCAAGACTGTGTCTCAAAAAAAAAAGTTGTAGGTGGAATTATCAAAAATTAAGAACTCTAGCAACAGGCTTTGTGGCACGTGGGGAAACAGGAACTCTCAAATATTGCTGACAGGGATGCAAAGTAGTATAACCCCCATGGGTGGAAATTCGGTCATGTCTAGCAAAATTGTGTTAGCAAAATTGTATAGATATGTATACTTTGACCTACCCATCTCTCTTCTGGGACCATATCCAAAAATCCTCTGCCAAAAATATGAAAAGAAACAGGTATTTAGTTTACACATTTATAACAAAAGACTGGAATTTTCTCCAATGTTCATTAATGGCAAGCAATAAAACCATGCCACAATTACAAATGGACTACTATGCTATCAGGAAAAGGAATAAGGATTGCCAGTAGGCCCTTGGAGGAAATAACCTCTGGAACATATCGTTAAATAGAAAAACAAGGTGGAAAAAAAACTTGATAGTATAAAACTATCCATCTAAGAAAGGAAGTAATAAAAACACACTCAGACATATTTTCTTATATGAACATAGTTCATCAATTATGTTTTCCTATAGTAAACCTAAAATACAAATATATATTTCCTTAAATTAATACAAACATTTTTCTACTCAATATAAAAAAATGAAAGGATAAAAAATTAATAAATTACTACCTTGGAAGGTAGAGAAACAAGTGAAGGTAATAGGGAGAAAAGTTAGGTATTTGTGAATGCACCTTTTGTAAACTTGAATTTAGAATCATTAAATATTTTGCAAAATTATGAAAATGGAAAGCAAAATTGGGTATCAATTTGGTAGTATGATTGCCCAGAAAGAATTTTTTTTTTTTTTTTTTTTTTTTTTTTGAGATTGAGTCTTGCTCTGTTGCACAGGCTGGAGTGCAGTGGTGTGATCTGGGCTCATTGCAACCTCCGCCTTCTGGGTTCAAGCAATTCTCCTGACTCAGCCTCCCAAGTAGCTAGGATTACAGGTGCCCACCACCACATTCAACTTAATTTTTTTGTATTTTTAGTAGAGATTCACCATGTTGGCCAGGTGGATCTCTAACTCCTGACCTCAGGTGATCTTCCCACCTTGGCCTCCTAAAATGCTGGGATTGTAGGTGTGAGCCTCTGCACCTGGTCTAGAAATAAATTTTACTGAGTATTCATTCCTAGTGGGATAATCCCTAGGAACCAGGAAAAAAATTGTAACCTGTTTTCAGAAAACACTGTCAATAGTAGTATTTATATTGTAATTTTGAGACTGTTGAGTGCACCTCTTTGGATAAAAGAGAAGAGAAACAATATTGGTTTCAATAGAGGGGATTTTCAGTGTGGGTGAATCTTAGTCTATTGATGAAGTTAAAAAAAGCATCTGTGGTTCTGAACTTGAATTGAAGCATGAGTATGAACTTATGAGGTATTTTATCTTAAAAACATTTCCTAGCTCAGCTGATAAGGCATAGAAAATCATGACCGACTAAGTAACAAACATTACCCTTGGGTTTTCAAATGGCATCTTTAAATAGGAAAACAGGGTCCCTTGTATACACAGCTGACTAATAACAAGATCTAAGAGAGGTGCACACATGTGCATAAACACACACTCACAACAGGAAGACAAAAACGGGGATATAACGATAAGAGAGATTTGCAAAACACCAGGAGAGAATATTCTTACCAATTTTATGCCAATAATAGTTAAGAAATTACAATTTACCAAAATTGACTCAGATGAAAAAAACACTAGATTTTCAAAAAATACATTTTGTGTAGTCAAAACACAGCTATTTAATTCAAAACTATAATGATATACCTTAAAATATAGATGGTCAATCTTCACATGGTTAAAACTGCTGGTGATTTTTATGTGTTTCTCCTTGCTTAGAAGAATTTTTTTAATTCTTAAATATACACATATATATGCAATCAAAAAGCCATTAAAAATTGACTTAGAAGTTTTGAAATATACAACACATTATCATTAACTGTGGTCATGCAATTAAAAACAAATTTAAAAACAGTAAAACAATAATAAATAGAAGTTATTTTTTAAAAACCCATTTTTAGAATAAATTATTTTCCTTAACTTTATCTTACATTAATGGTAATTCTAGGATTCTGCTCACGACAGCCTATTCCTGAGAACGACATGATTTAACTTCTGGTGCCTCAAGTGCACTTAATGTACTATCCATTGAGATTGCCTCACTTCACCCAGAAGATCTTAGCTTTGGTACCCAGAACACCTCACACAGCTGGGCATCCATCTTGCACGTCTCTTTTCCTGTGGCTCCTCACCAGTGCATTTTATTCCCCCTAAGCTGGAGAATACACACTCTCCTACCTCTACTATTGTTTACAGATGGGATCCTAGCCCTGCTGGCTCACTTGTCCAAACCTCAATTTCTTCAAAAGAGATAGCAACCTGCGGCAAAGCTTAAAGATTGAGTTTTTCTGTAAAACAACTAGCTCTCTTCCTGGCCCAAAGCAGATACTGAATACACTGTAGTTTATTTCACTGTTGGCTGCAAATGGGCACAGAAGAGCAATTAGCACAGCTCCTCTGACCTGTCTACCACTGCACTAAGTGTCACAGAGACTAAAGCAAAAGCCACTGAAAAATGTTGAAGCTGAAGGGGACACAGCTTCTCTTAGAGCAATGGTGGAACTTCACTTCTCTGAAAGCCAGCAATGCATGGATTGCCACCCAATGTGAGTGTGTGTATATGCGTGTGTGTATAAATACATTATTTATGCCCAAGCCTTGAGCTACAATTCCCGTCATCTTTAGCCTGGAAGAGAGGAGATTATTGGGAGCCAATGATAAGTTTAGTCCACCCACATTAAAAACATTTGACCCTGCTACAGTATTGCCAAAATAAAACAATAGGAAAGGCCAGGCCGGTGCTGGCCATCTCTCTGGAGCTCCAGCCAAGATGAGAGTGGTAACACTGTGATAAAAAATTGACAGCGTGCCACCCAGTAATGATAGTTCAGAGAAAACATCCCTTTCATAATAATCTTATTAGGGGAAAAGTCTTTTTTTGTTTCTCCTTTGTGAGGAGCAATTTATTTTTATGGGTAGTGAAAGGAAATAAAATTTCCTAAAATGGTTCCTTGGTGTATCAGGGTCCACACAGCTCATTCTGCGTTTATAGATAAGCAAAAGGTCAATTGAATGTTATGTTGTTTATATCACTGCGTGCTTAGACTTTGCACAGTGCAGAGTGGGGAGACAGCTGGCTGTCTACTTCAGCTGTTCTTCCAGCAATCTTTCTAGACTGAATTGAGAGCAGATTTCTGTGCCAGAGGCTGTCAGAGAAAACATGTATCAATCATCCGTCGCAAGGCATTTGTTTTGCTGGTGGGATTAATTCACTGTAGGAGATTAGAATGTGTTGCTTTTGTCACCATGCAAAATATACAGATAATTTTTGGGGCACACATTTGACAAGTTCCAAAAGCATGGCATATGTGTCTGTGAATGATGGCTTGGTCCTGCACTGCTGAGGCCATGTCAACAGTTCCTTAAACTTTAAGCAGGGACTTTGTTGGGAGACAGTGGAGAGAATTAAGGTTTACCACCCATTCTAGGGGAGGGACTGAGGGGTTGTCAAACTCAGTTCTTCTCCAGACACCCACAGTGTGAAATCACAGTCAGCTGTCATGTCGGAGTTTCCTTGCTTTCATAGCCACGTGGCTCATTTATTCAACAAATATTTAGCTAGTAGACAGCATACACAAGACTCTGCATGTCAGACCCAGAGAGGACTCTGTCCTTAAATGTTTCACTTCTAATAGAGGCAGGAGGGAGGATTAATTCAGTCAGCGTGGAATGTCTTTCGTATGCTCACCTCGATACTCTAGTAAGAAAAGGAGCAAGAAAGGTCATTAATTCTGAGTGAGCAGCTAGGATGGCCCAAACAATATACAGTAACAGGCATCTGCACAACCTGTTTTCATTTTATCTTCATAAATATTATCTCCATTTCTCCAGGTAAGAAAACCAAGACTCAAAGAGATCTTGGCCAGAAGAGGTAATATTAGGATCTAAACCCAGATCATCATATTTCAAATTCAAGGGTATTTTTTTTCTGGGCCCCACACTGCATTCAAAAGTAAAGTGAAAAAACTAGACAGGCATAGAATTTCTATGCGATGGGAGGTTGCCAGTGAGAGGTGGGGGGAAGTGAGGTTAGACAGTAGGTGTGGGTGGGGGAGGGGGGGTAGACGTGTGCAGTAGGGAGTAGGAGGAATGTGGTGGGAGGTGGGAGAAGGATGGGGTGGGAGGCAGGGCTGGGACTGGGCATGCTCAGAGAGAGTGCGGAGGATGCAGCTGTTAATTTCAGTGCTAAAGAGTCACAGGATATAAAGGCAAATAGTGTAGGCTTTGAGGTCAAGGAAAGTGTAGGGCTGCTCTATTGGACAGCAGTGACCCTCTCTGCATTCAGCCAGTGTTCTCCCACTACTACTGTGTGAGAGCCCAAGTCTCTTTACAAGTCTTACATATCCTGTATTGGGTGGGTACACATCCGGGATCATCAGCTCTTCTTGTTGTGTTGATCCTTTTACCATTATGTCCTCTTTTGATCTTTGTTGCTTTAAAATCCATTCCATCAGGGGTGAGAATTGCAAACTCTGCTTTTTATTTATTTATTTATTTTTGCTCTCCATTTGGCAAGTGCTCCAGCATGGAGGGTCATGGCTGTCAGCTCTGACCACTCCCAGCTCCTGAGCTCTCTCTCCATGGTCCCTGTGCCTGTACCTCCCATTCCTTCTCCCCACTCCTCTGTGCCCATCCCTCCACCTCCTACACTGGGCCTCTGCAGCAGCCCTTTGTCTCTGCCTCTCACACTTTTCTCACCTCTATCCAGGTGACCTTCCAAATTCTCTTCAGTCCTGACCTCTCCCTCCAGACCTTCTGAAATGTCATCTCTAACTCTGAGTCACTGCTGTGAGTCCCTCTCTTGTTTCCCCAGCTTACTTCAAATCCAAATTCCATACCACCTGGACAACAGTGGTCTCTTACTAGCTTCTCCTTCTGGTTCATTCTGAAAGCCCATGCAAGGGAGCTGAAACTGTGTCCATATGCAACGTGCATTTCCTGTATTGTTCTGTGAGGCCTTCTAGAGAGTGACCCGCTGTAGTTCATGTTTGCAATCCAAACATCTAGCACTCTCTAAGCTCTCAGTGATGCCTGTGAGATGAACAATCCGTCCTGTGCTTTCAACCTGTCCTGCACACAGCTG